GGGAGTAGGGGAGATCGTTTTTTCCATCATAACAGTTTGGCACGGTCCATTTTCCTTCAATGACTGAACCATTCTTCTAATCCTGAATTGTAAGGGAATGATGAGGAGAAGTTTAGGGAGGGGGGGAAATGTATTCAGTGAGAATTTCTGTTATGGTGGGTTGCCATCTCTTCCATCTTTCCGCATAGTTCTACTTTCATTATCATAAATCCTATAGAGATATTAGTGATGCCGAATTGATGTTTCGGGTGAACAAAAATCTCATCAAATTTTTCAAACCTCGGTTATAAATTATATACGTTGAAAGTATGCCATATAGTTTGTCAAATTAATGGTTACGCTATTGAGTTAAGTTGATAATAATTTTATGGATATTATTATGGCAAGTAATTTTCAATATTTATAAATATTATGCAAATACACTGCTATAAAAGTTAGCATTTGGTCAACAAAATACTTATATTGATCATGTCTTTTTAATCTAAATTATGATATTTACCTTACTGTGTATATTATTTTAGTAGTATCATTCTTAAAGGAGGAAAAACCGCCTTCAAACTTAATAAGTGAATTAATGAAATGCTATCTTTACAAACAATTAAAAAAGAAATAAGATTCTTGTGAAATATCCCTTGTATGCTGATGAAAGAATGTAATCCAGAAGGATTATGAGTATTGATCGTTTCTAGTATTTTAATTCTTTTTTTTTTAAAGGGGAAGGATGTAGAAAACAGAGTGAATTGATTTCCTTTACAATCGAATCATTTTGTAGCTATTTAACCGATGAATAATTTATGACGTTTTCGATAACTTGACGATCGATCCGCGCTTAAAACGATTCATTGAAAACAGGTATTATTGATCGAATTATCTCAATAAGTCAATCGAGTAGTCGATACTTCGGTTGTTTGACTTAGTTATAATACCTTAATGGTGTAATCAATATTAACGTAGTCAAGTAAGATCGAATACTGGAATCTTCCGCTAAGTGTTCCACTTATGGAAACTCGCCTCTTGACTATAATTTGCATAAAATATCAATTTACTTCTAGAATTCTTCACTTTATTTCGTGACTATTTTTTTTTTTATTTTTATTTTAGTTATTANGGTATAATTTGGGGGGACTGATTATTTTAATTCCATTAAACTAGCGAGGCAAAAATATGGAAGAAACTTATTGGCATTGCAATCACGTTCGTCTGAAAGGAGAAACATTGAATTGCTCTGAATGGTAATGTCCCGTTATTTATCGTTCGGCCAGCGTGTAATTTATAATTCAATATGACGTTAAAATGATAAAGTATTTACCAGTTATCTACCAAATCTACTTTATGTTTGAAGAACAGGGAGAATTTTTTCTAGAAATGAAACTTCTCGTTTGATTTGTGAAAATATTCGAATAGAAACTAATCTTTATAAGTGACTTCTCGGTTCAAAATAAAATATTTAAAATCCGTAATATTCTGTTACGAATTTTTTTTTTTTTTTTTTTTTTTGGCAAAAAAAACAAAATATTTGTAAATAAATAATAAATTACAAAAATAGTCAAGCGAATTTGTCGTTTCATTTTTTATTATTATTATTTTTTTTTATATATATACATAATTTTTTTTAAAATGTTGACAGTGGTGTGACGTCAAAAAAAAATCCCTACAAATCCCCCGTTTATTGGAGGTTTGTTAGGATGTGATGTTTTTTTAGTTCCAAACTCGAGGGCCTTTCTTTTTTGTAGAAGTGCTCCTGATAACATCGTGGCACCATCTTTCGTCAGGAAAAGAAACTTTTTATAGTCTTGTGTGAGCTGAGGAAGTGAAATGGTTTTGTTCGTCTTGTGGTTCGTTTGTGGTCGAAAAAAAATAAATAAAATTAAAATAACGATAATATTAATATGTTCTGCTTGTTGTCATCAGAGCGTTAATAAAAAGATGTGTTTTCATTTTTTTTAAATTTTTTGTATAAATACGAAATAAAAGAGAAAAAAACAAGAAAGCAAACAATTTTTTGGTCAAATAATACTGTTTAGTCAATTTGTTTACGTGGAAAAATATTAAAATTTCTTATAAAATATATTTATTGATTTACATGTGAATTATTCATTGTAATTCAAAAAGTAAATAAACGAAAAATTCTTAATACAAATGGTCAATGCTTGTAACAATATAAAAGTAATATTAAATGTTTAAACTTCAAGAATTAAAGACGAAACTAAAAATAAAGGATTCGTTCGAATGATTGGCATAGTGTACAGTACATCTTTTCGTCAATTTGACGTCATTACTTCAGTTTTACAATGAAATAGCTTAAAGAATGACGTCAAATTTACGTAAGGGGCCTTAAATAAAGAAGAAAATTACAGTGAAATATTTAATAATAAAGTTTATTCGACGAACTTTTTGAAATTTAAAACATTAACACGAAACGAATGTAAGTTATTTCGTTATAGGAAGCGTGTTTTATTAATATTATATCAAAATTACCATAAATTTTAATAANATAAATATATATATATATAAAAAACACTGAGAACATCTTGTTTAAAAAAGGGCATTTTGTTCTCTTCTAATAATGATACAATCGTTGTAATGTCTTTTTTGTGACGTCATTATCTTTAAAAAGTACTTAAAGGGGTTTTTTCCCCCTCCCTTTTTTTTATTCCTTCCTTTATTTCGTTCGTTTTGATAAGTTTATCCATTGTATAGACTAAGGTAATTTTTATATTTATATTTTCATGATTTCCTCATTTATTCTACGGAATGTATAATAATAATTTTAAAATTTTACATTAGTCTACAGTAGTAGAAATATTCCATATCAATATTAAATAAGAAAAATAAATTATCGAATAAATATAGTTTCTGTATATACAATTTACGATCAGGCCTGAATTTACCGGTAAAGATTTCGTATAAAATTGGTGTTATTATTAATGTAAATTTATATATTTTGTTTTACATTTTATTTAGTAAGTTTGGCAAGAAAATATTTTAGAATCTTTTGATAAAGTCGGTAACATTACAGCTAACAACAGAGTTGAATGGGAATGAGAATGGTCGAGTAAGTTGTATAGAAGGCTTCTTATTCTTCACACTTAATCATTAAGGAGGCAATTCAGGACGTTCTCTTGCCTTCTAGGATCCGTTAAATCATAACTAACTTCCGATTTGCTGCCGACTTGTCTGCTACTCCGGAAACTGTAGTCGTTGAGTGGACAAGAACTGAAAGACAATGTCCCATAAGTGGTTTTATTATTCTCTATGAAGGATCTTACCTGAGAATTTTTGACACTTATCACAACGTTTAAAAATTTATCTTTTCGATGCATTAAGCAATAAATTTTAACATAGTTTTTTCTTTTTTTTAAATAATTGGTTTTTATAAAGATCGTAATAATAATATTTTATCGGAACAATATAATAATTTGATCATTTACAGCAAAAAAAAAAGAAAAAAACCTTTATTATTTGGTGCTAAACACTATTATGTACGAGTGTAGATCGATAAGATAGACTAATTGCCATCATTTACCCCTACGCACTCTGCAGATAACATCATCTAACTAACCCCATAGCTATTAAGCTAAGATATAGAGTGGAGAGAATTTATTTTCTCACCTCAAAGTGAATTATCTACGTTAGTATAAGACTAATTAAAGTTAATAGGAAAACAAAAAGTTTCTACATCAACATTATCCCCTTAAAACACTAAAATTAATCACTTAACTATCATTCTTAAATGTTTAAACCCGAATTAGAAGTATCGAGTTACATATTGATTGAGATCTCTAGAGATTGAGATTTATTATCCCTTTAGAAGGTAATCGAGTTAAGAAGAGATGTGATCACGTTCATGAAACGAGCTAGGCATTTTTTTTTTATACAAATTTCCTTTTCTATATAACATTTTAACATACGCTATTAAATTTAAAATAATAGAGAGATTGCGGCCGAAGTTTTCATGTGTAAAACGTGAACGTCGAACGTCGAGCGCCGCTTACTTAAGCGGCGCTCGACGTTCGACGTTCACGTTTTATGCATGAAAACTTCGGCCTTAATTTCTCTTAATATATTTGTAAAAGTCAATGTTAATAATTTATAAGTATTGTTAATAATTATTATACCAGGAAACTTTTCCAATATATTCTTTTTAAACGAATGAGATAAACATCTACCCGCCCTATTTCATATTTAAAACATCTGTTGATCCTCCCATTAACAGATACAATAATTTATCTCTATTGTAAAAAAAAAAAAAAAACAACAACTCTTCTTTTAGCTCTCTTTATTCTCGATTGTTCTGTTTTATAACCTTCATCCCTTTATTAAATGGCGTTTAAAATTCAAGAAGGGTAGAGAGATATTTATTACTTAATATCTCCTTCAAAAAAAAAATTACCGAATAAACTAAAATATAAATGATCCTTTTAAGTTAAACGGACATCAAATTATTGGTATCTACGGAATATTTATAAAGAATTCGACAATAAAAAGCATTAAATATACTTTTTTTTTTTAATTAAAAAAAATGAAGGGCAGAGAGAAAGAGAAAACGAAAGTGAAGTTTATAGCCTGGAACAGCCCGACTTATCATTTAGTACCTGATTGAAAAATGGCTACTAGATATGGCGTCCTGGTTCCGCTCCGTTGATCACACAAGCTCCCTCTGGTGTCTGATAGGGAAGTCATTTCCGTGCCGTAGGGACGACTCAACGATATCTACACCAACACCAAAAGAAATGCTCCTTTTCCTTGCATTTTTTTTTTTTATAGTTCAAAAAAGTACCAACAGAGTTAAATTAGTTTGCGTTTATTTGAGTAGGCATGTTTGGATTTAATAAGGCGTAGAAGATTTTATGTCGGAAATTCTCCTTTCAGAATATTATACCGATATCAACACTATAAATCTTTCTCCCCGGAGAATTAAATATTTATGTTTTCTTATAGAAAATAAAAGATTTAATAATATTTTTTTTTATTAATTATTTATTTATATTTCTTTTTAGATTTCGGATTGACAATACGGATCATATTATTGATGTTAACAAAGGTAATATACCTTTTGAATATGATCAGGTGAATATCATCTGTCCAGTCTATACACCTGGCACAAAAGAGGAAGAGGTAGAAAGATACATAATTTATAATGTAAGTTTATTTAAATTCTATTATAAACTTCAATATTCTGAATTGATTTGCTGATTTATTAGCTAACAAATTCGGTATATTTGTTTTAAAAAAAAACATATTCTTTATGTTTAATTATTTACAAGGAATGAAGTTTGTTAGATGATTCACTATCAAGTTTAAAAAGGTGATTGACGAGTGTATTTTTAAATATGAATCATAGGAAAATATATAAAATGAATAAACGATTATGTTAATATTAAAAAGTAAAAAAATGAAATTATTGACATTTTTCGTGTCACAATCGTGGAAAGATCTAATTTAATCTCACGTCACTTCAATTATTAGAAAGAAATTTGAAGAGTTTATCTGTAGATGCCATGCTTCTTAATTTACTGATTGTACAATGATTTCAGTCATATAAAATAGCAAATGATCGTGGTCCTTTTATTTTTTTTTTGTCGACTGTATCCAAATTTCGTTAAACGGCTGGATGAATTCTGCTTTCGTCTTGTATTTCTTCTTTTAATTGGCAGAAAAAATAACGTCTGTTACAAAAATGCTTCCATTGTTTCTTAAAAATAGAGGCCTCATGTAGACGGTATGCAATTCTATTTCTATATCAGATTTCGCTTAAATCAACTTAACTTATCAAAAGAGGTATACATCGTTTCTATAAGTATAAATCTCTAAACAAACTAAAAATAGACTAATTTGTAAAGTAGCAAATAAGGATTGAAAATCTTTTATTGTATTAATCAGGTGTCCAAAGAAGAGTATGATTCTTGTCGTATCACTAAGCCTCATCCCCGGATCATAGCTGTCTGTGATAAACCTCATCAAGTGATGTATTTTACTATCACTTTTCGCTCATTTACACCTCAACCTGGTGGTCTGGAGTTTAGGCCCGGACAGGATTATTACTTCATCTGTGAGTCAAGAAAATAATTCCTATTACAATATATATATAAAGTAATTGGAGATTAATAAATAAATATATATTTTTAGCAACATCCGATGGAGGAAAAGATGGTCTTTATCATAGAATTGGAGGTAGATGTGCTACACACAATATGAAAGTAATTTTTAAAGTATGCTGCTGTCCTTCAAAAGGTAAGATTTTAGAATACAAATTTATAATCTACTTTTTTGCAGATTCAATAGGTTAATTATATTTTTAATATCATATAACTATGCTAGATAGAATTTACTATAAGATTATTTACAAAACTGTGACGTCAATATTGTTTTTCAAGCGTCACAAGAATATATATTGTGAGGTAACAACATAAATTCAACGTCGTCTTCCATATTCATCTACTTTAAGCAATAAAATATAAATAAACTTTGTGATGTGGCTAAACCAATGGAAATTACATTTATCCAGTTGAAGGATCTTGAACCTATTCCATTTATTCCCTAAGACTACAGCATTCCATGTTCATCTGTCAGATCTCATTAACTTGGACGTTCTGCTGGAGTGGCTCTCTCCAGGGACTGGTTAGGAGCTACTAACAGTTGTGGAGGTGATTGACTGTAGACCTTCCAGGAACAGAAAACTTGGAACATGTATAAATTTATGTCTTCTACAGACAATATTTTAATGTAACTTATTTATATTTACTCGGAAAATGTTCATTATTAAAGTGTTGTTTAATAATTGCCAGTATTTAAATACCTTAAGGTTATTAAACATGAAAACGTGTTAGTATTTTGAAGGACCTAAAGCGTTAAATTATAATTTAATACGTCAAGGACTTTTTTAATGGCATTAGTTTGTAAGAATCCTTGAAGGAAACAATGCTGAAATACTAAAACTTAGAATGGATATTTCGTGACTAAAAACCGTAAAAAATTTAGGCTTGTCCTATTATAATAAACTGATTATTATTAAAATTTTAAGAACAAAAAAGTTCGACAATTATCACTCTATTAATAACAGTTGAAGATATTTGGAAAAATCTACTCTTAGTTTACATTTAATGTACAAGTAGACCCCCCTATAACACTGTAGATAATTCCGTTTTATATGAATTCAATGTTGTACGAGTCACTTAGATTTTACAAATACGTGTGCCGGGCTGTAAACGGCTCACGTATTTGTAAAATCTAAGTGACTCGTACAACATTGAATTCATATAAAACGGAATTATCTACAGTGTTATAGGGGGTGTACTGTACTTGTTTGAATGTAGATTTCTACTATATTTGAAATGAAAACGATTTTAAGATCCATATTTAGGTATTATTATAATACTTTTTCGTATTGATTTCAGGCACAGCTGTGACTTCAACCACTAAAATTACCACAGCCAGTACCACAACTACTACACGTGCAACCATCGCATCTACCACAACAACAACCCAAGTAATGTCCGTAAGCACTCCAAGTTGGCTCCGACCTCTAATGCCCAGCAACAGACCTACAATCTCTGTTAAACAGTACGAATATGAAGTGCCAAGAGATGTTAAACAAAAATCGAAAAAGACAGGTTAATCTTTTAAATATTGTAATTATACAGTCGACTCCCCCCTATAACACTTGTTGATTATTCCGTTTTATATGAATTCCATGTTGTACGAGTCACTTAGATTTTACAAATACGTGTGCCGGGCTGTGAACGGCTTACGTATTTGTAAAATCTAAGTGACTCGTACAACATGGANTTTTTAGTAATTTAATTTAAATGTGTAATTTTAGTAACAATATCTTAAAAATCTGCGATAGAAATCATTTTATATAATAAAGACAATGCATTTCAATATCCTTTATACATTCATAATTGGCATATATTTTGATTTTAAAAGGAAAAGATTGATCTGTTTCACGTTGAATCGCATAAGCAATTACACGGCATTCATTAAAAATTGTACAAACAATTACATTATTCAGATTTAAATATTTATTCTTTGTTTGCATTTCGCTGTCAATATTGTTAAATGTTAGCCTATGATAATAATGTACTTAAGTATTTTCGGTAATAAATTATCAATGTGTATGTTTTCCTTGTCGAATTTAAAGGAAATTTAAAGGAAAATATGACTTATGATTATTTTTTTATAATTTACATTTGAAATTTCCTGTAATTTACTCTTTGGAGCCATGAGTACTTATTGAATTTATGAAAATTTAAGGCTATAAAAATGAAAAATTAAGTTATTTTCGGAAGAAAGCTTTTTACTTGATTTCATATTTTAAATTATCTAGAATGGACTTCAACTTATTAAGTCAGTATTGTTAAAAAAAATTCATTTAATAATTTAATTTTTTTAATTATTTTAACACAAATAAAGTTTCCGTTTTAATTATAAATGGATTTATATAAAAAGTAGATTATTTTTTTTAGAATTTCACTATATTAAAAATTTTTTATTCGAAATTTCAATTCAAAATCACATTTTAATTAATTGTCATTCAGATTGAACTCCATTAACATATATTTTCTTAAAATAAAGAGGGTTGGAAGTTGATATATGATATTTCACCTTTTGTTCTTATCGCAATATTCGTCGTTAACAAAAAAATACCACTTAAGAGTAAATGTAGTTTGATAGCACTTTGAGCAGTCTTAATTACAGAAACAGAGAAATAAATCAAGAGTCAAATGGGGAAGAAACTTTTTTTAGAGCTTTGTTCTACTTTACCTATATCTTTTATGATACCAGGCTTATAGGAAATTTTCCTATACATTTAATGGTTCGATTTAATGTTATTTAATCGCACAAGAATTTATAAATTACAATTCGAATCTTAAGAATGAATTTTAAGATTTCTCATTTATTATAATTACTTTTTGTACAATAAAATTTCAGAAGTGTACTTAAATCACTTATAATAATAGTTATAGAAAGATCTTAAATATTTAAAACAGTAATAATTATGTACTTTAAATAGAAAATTTTTTAATTTGAATTATAATTATTAAATAAAAACATTACTAAATAACCAGCTTAAGCTTTATTTGCCATTATTTAAAAGTATCTATTTTAAGAACCTACTGGAAGAGTAACGATTCTTTAATAATACAACCGCGTTATTGAGGTAATAACTCGATACTCTTTCCGGGGTCAAGAAATGCCATTGATATTCTTCGAACACTGCATCTTAGTTTATCCAGCGCATATATATTCGACATAGCAGAAAAACAAGATAGGTCTACAGAGAAAAAGCTGCCGGCGGCTTTTAATCTATAAACAGATATTGCGAGATAGTTTACTAAAATAATCGGTAAAAAAAAATTCCACAAGAAATATTCTATAAGAAGCTTGTTATAATAATAATAAAGAATGTCTACTAAAAAATGCAACAACTTTTTTGTATTTTTAAACATGATATTAACGATTATTTCTGTTATTTTAATGAGGATCATTTAAAAAACTACGATCTTAGCAACCTTCAATAATACCAATTCAAAAGAATCGGCAATGTTTGTTTTATGACATATATCAGGCGAGCATTTAGAAGTTCCCCGGAGCTTCTATTGAAGGTATAATTTGGGGGGACTGATTATTTTAATTCCATTAAACTAGCGAGGCAAAAATATGGAAGAAACTTATTGGCATTGCAATCACGTTCGTCTGAAAGGAGAAACATTGAATTGCTCTGAATGGTAATGTCCCGTTATTTATCGTTCGGCCAGCGTGTAATTTATAATTCAATATGACGTTAAAATGATAAAGTATTTACCAGTTATCTACCAAATCTACTTTATGTTTGAAGAACAGGGAGAATTTTTTCTAGAAATGAAACTTCTCGTTTGATTTGTGAAAATATTCGAATAGAAACTAATCTTTATAAGTGACTTCTCGGTTCAAAATAAAATATTTAAAATCCGTAATATTCTGTTACGAATTTTTTTTTTTTTTTTTTTTTTTGGCAAAAAAAACAAAATATTTGTAAATAAATAATAAATTACAAAAATAGTCAAGCGAATTTGTCGTTTCATTTTTTATTATTATTATTTTTTTTTATATATATACATAATTTTTTTTAAAATGTTGACAGTGGTGTGACGTCAAAAAAAAATCCCTACAAATCCCCCGTTTATTGGAGGTTTGTTAGGATGTGATGTTTTTTTAGTTCCAAACTCGAGGGCCTTTCTTTTTTGTAGAAGTGCTCCTGATAACATCGTGGCACCATCTTTCGTCAGGAAAAGAAACTTTTTATAGTCTTGTGTGAGCTGAGGAAGTGAAATGGTTTTGTTCGTCTTGTGGTTCGTTTGTGGTCGAAAAAAAATAAATAAAATTAAAATAACGATAATATTAATATGTTCTGCTTGTTGTCATCAGAGCGTTAATAAAAAGATGTGTTTTCATTTTTTTTTTAAATTTTTTGTATAAATACGAAATAAAAGAGAAAAAAACAAGAAAGCAAACAATTTTTTGGTCAAATAATACTGTTTAGTCAATTTGTTTACGTGGAAAAATATTAAAATTTCTTATAAAATATATTTATTGATTTACATGTGAATTATTCATTGTAATTCAAAAAGTAAATAAACGAAAAATTCTTAATACAAATGGTCAATGCTTGTAACAATATAAAAGTAATATTAAATGTTTAAACTTCAAGAATTAAAGACGAAACTAAAAATAAAGGATTCGTTCGAATGATTGGCATAGTGTACAGTACATCTTTTCGTCAATTTGACGTCATTACTTCAGTTTTACAATGAAATAGCTTAAAGAATGACGTCAAATTTACGTAAGGGGCCTTAAATAAAGAAGAAAATTACAGTGAAATATTTAATAATAAAGTTTATTCGACGAACTTTTTGAAATTTAAAACATTAACACGAAACGAATGTAAGTTATTTCGTTATAGGAAGCGTGTTTTATTAATATTATATCAAAATTACCATAAATTTTAATAATAATTTCACTTATTAACTTTTTAAGCAATAATTAAATATTCTGTTGTTTGAATTATTATAAACTTAAAGATGTCGATAAATATCTTCATGTTAATTTTAATGATTGATCGTATTTCAAAATTAATTATATAAATTATCTTAAATCTATTGAATTAAGATAAACTTAATCGCAAATTAAATGCTTCAATATGCTTATTTACCAATATTCGTGATAACTTATCAACTTTGAAAGTTGACAAGATACAAAATAATGTTTAATAAATTTAAATTTATACAATAATTTATTTAACTTATTATCAGAGCATAAAAGAGTGTACTTTTATGCGTGGGCATGCTGTTATAACGGGGTAAAATTGGCATATACTGTATAAAACTGGTATATCGCATGGAAGTGGGCAACCCGCATCAGTTGTGTTGAGTAATCATTGTTGTCCCGTATTGTGCGTATCCAAACACAATACAAGTCGACCCCCCTATAACACTGTTGATTTTTCTGTTTTATAGGAATTCCATGTTGTACGAGTCACTTAGATTTTACAAATAAGTGTGCCGGGCTGTGAACAGCTCATGTATTTGTAAAATCTAAGTGACTCGTACAACATGAAATTCATATAAAACGGAAGAATCAACAGTGTTATAGGGGGTCGACTTGTACAGGAACTGAGGGACAACTCAGCCACGCAATCGCCGGTATCGATGACTTGTGTTTCTAAACATGGTTTGATGCTCGCAGCTATGTATAAAAATGAGACAGGTGACCACTTTTAATATCTATGACTACGATACTAACAGTTGGCTTCTGTTTTTATTACTGTATTATTATGTTTCCTCTTACTATCGCTTTCTATAATTATTAGTACAAATTGCACATTATATTCTTTTCTGAATCATCTAGTAATGTTCGGCAATAGCACTTTATGAAGTTCTATAAAAGTACGAATTAAAAATCATATAATAAATTATATGAATGGCATCAATTAACTTTTTACAAATTTGTTTATTATAATGTGAAATAAGCTTATTTACATAAAATAATCGTGACATTCCTTACCGATAAATTTTATAAGATTTATCTTCTATTGAGAAATTTAAGTGTGTGGCAAGCTTTGCTTTGCACACGGGGATTTTGGGGGTTTAAATTTTTAAAATATTTTACAATTGATAAATTATTTGAATTAAATTATATCTGAATTTTTCATTATTTTTGGATAGTAATGTAATCGATTACGCGTAACATTCGGTGAAGAGAAAATAAAAAAAATAAATCAAGATGGCGCATAGGCGTGAGAAGCAGAACACACTGAAGAGAAGCGATCCCAATTAGTATTTGATTTAATTTTGTTTTTTGGGGACATTCGGTCGAAATCCATGACCAAAAGTGGTTCCTTTTCTTTGCTTCGTTTAAAACTAATCTTCGGAAAGTCAAGTTTCATGAGGATTGTAATGAACGACCAGGTACCTACGGTATGTACGGTCCTGTAATAAACTTCCTGTTAATAAAATGGCTTCAATCGACTGCGATGGTTCTACTAAGCCGTATAGAACAATTGAAAGAACAGAACTAAATCATATGGTTATTAAAAGTAAGTGCAGTTTTGAAAGGAAGATAGTTGTTTACTAAGGTTATAGAGATGAACCTCCATCAAAAATGCCAGAAGGTACCAAGACCAAGGATTATGTAATATGGGAGAAAAAACAACGACGAAACTTTCTCGGTTTTGATAGTAACATTAAGTGATGAAATAACTGGACAGTTTATTTTTGAGATGCCAATTGTAGACCCATAAATTCCCACCATCGTCCGTTGTCCGTCTGTCTTTGCTTAATCTTGAGAACGGAGTTAGATGGATGAAATCTGAGACCAGATATGGAAACCTTAGGGCAAAAGATCTCGATTAACTTCTATATGAACTTCTGATGCAAACCGAAAGTCACGTTATTTCAATTAAAAACTCTTCTCCTAAAAGCAGTTATAGAATAGCAGTTAATAGAAGACCGACACGACTCTATTAACTGTCGTGGGTGTTTGCAGCCAAGAAATAAGTGGAAAGACGTTGTTATTTAAGACGCCAAAGTTCGTGTAATTAGCCACACAAACCACAAACGGAAGGAAACAGGAAAGCATGGCATAGCTTCTGACTGCAAATATGTAAGCATTTCAGTAAAACTTGAATCTCAAATCATCAAGGATTGTAAAAGTATCAGTAAAGATCAAGAGGCAGTTCAAATTTGTAACACATATTTTGGGCCATACAAAAATATTCTTAATTAGAAGCACCAGGAAGTGGATCAATGGGTTGACACTGCCACAAGCCTACAAAGATCCAAGTTTCTTTTCTGGTATAGACCAGTCAGTTCGGCCGGATGGTCGAGCGGTCAAGGTGGCAGCTTACCCGGGTTCGAATCCGAACGGGTCGAAAAATCCCCAGGAATTTTTCGGGGTGTGGTCCGTTCAGATATGTTGGCCCCGTCCCTCACCACCCGGCAGCTCCATTGTGGGCCTGGCCGAACCCATAATGGGCTTGCAAAAAGAGGCCCTCTTAGTGCCCACAGGGCGGAAAGAGTTAAAAACAGTCAGTTCACAAGTTTAAGTCAACAAGAAACTTGTGGACTGACTGAAGCTGTCAGCCTTCCTATAGAAGGCAGAGAATAAGAAGTTCTACGAGTCTGTCAAGTGTTGCAGGTAATAAACAATATGTAGATATTGAAGAGGAGGACAACAACAGTGGCTGCGAGAACTCGGAAATGACACATACAAACTTTTTCATACAAAAATAACTATGGGAATAAAGTTTCTGAGAAAAACAACATACGTCGGTTACCAAAAATTTAATTTATCTCGGGTCCTATCAAAGGCAATATTCTGGCAATATAACAAAACGTTCAGAATACTTCACTGTTTTAGCAAATGGGAGCGAAAGATGTCCATGTGCAATGAAATTTAATAGAAATGGTTTTTTCAATTTCTTCAACATGCTGTTTTTGCAAAAACGGCATCAATTATTAATAAATTACATAACAATGAATGATAAAAGTTTTGTTCCCTTTGTCATTTACCATTCTTGTTCTGAAGATTTCCAGAATTGAGCTAAATTCAAAAATATTTATTAAGCATTTAAAAAAAATTCTCAGCATTATGGAAAACAAAGAAACGAAAGGTATGCGATATTTTTTTTTTATAAATTAATATATCAATATAGTACAATAGTCTATTAACAACTAGATTTGAGACAAATTGTAATAAATACATAATATATTTAACTGTAATATAAAAAGCTTAGGTATTACGAAGCAAAAACGGTTTATTGTTTACAATAAACATCACGAAATAGAAAATATCTCATAAAAAATTGTTAATTTTAAACGTTAATAGGAGAAAATGTCATCTTTTAAGTTTAAGCATTGATATCAGTTGAACAGTATTAAGAATAAGCCTATGAATCATACTGTAATACTTTTAGTTATTTTAGAATAATACTGAGGATACATCTGTAACTTTTAGATAGATTCAAATCAAAGGAGTGTTCTGTGTTAGTCGCAGACAAAATGGAGATAAAAAATATTAATTGCCTCGCTAAGAAACATCAATTGATTATAAACAATCTAGTATTAAAAATCAAGGGATTACGAAGACGGATTCAGAGTACCCAGTCTGAGAACAATTCGGTACAGGCTTGTTTTTTAAATAAATGAGATGATTTAAATTTCCTTGGGAGACTATTCTCCTGTGATCTAAATTTGAATTTAGTTACACAGAAAAAAATATTTTTTTAAAGTGTAAAAAATGTTTGTGTTTGAAGTGTCACTCGTGTTTCTTTAGTTTATTGTTGAGCCTACTAGTGACCGAGTGAATAAACTACTAAACACTGGTAGTTGGTTGCGGGTTCGCACCCTACTAACGAGCTGGCCACGTGGAGTTTTCCGGGTTTTATTTACATGTTTAACATTTAAATAGGAGCCAGTTTCCTAAAAAAAAGTGCATCCTCTTTGGCAGATCGCCCGTGTGTTGCGTTGCATTATCTCATCAATCCAAAATAATCCAACCTTTCTTTATTGTTGGCTGATTTCTTTCGTTTCTGTTTTCATGTGATCTATTTCATATTTCTAATGTTTGTTTTGAGAAGTTTATAATACATGCCTTTTGTTATATACTATTAATTTTGTATTTCATTTGTTCACAGCTGTAATAGTTATTTGCGCTCGATGTTGCATAGGCTTGCTTATCTCATACAGGATTTTCCAAAAAATGTATACACACATTAATTAAGAAAATACCATAGAAGTTATAAATAATTTTAATTTAATAATTCTACAATTTAGATTCTAATTTCATTTTATAATCAAAATGTGTATATTTTTTTAGCATACTCTGTATACTAAATTCAAGCTATAATTCAAAACTTCTAGTATATACAGGGTGGGAAAGAAAGTCATTTAACACTCCTGCTACACAGGGGCGGACTAAGGCCTAGGCAACCTAGGCACGTGCCTAGGGCCCGTAATTTTTGGGCCCCAAAAATTAGGTTTTTAATTTTTTAATTTTAAAAATAGACCCGGAATTACAATGTTGCCTAGGGCCCGCTTTAGCCTTAGTCCGTCTCTGCTGCTACAGAATATAGAATGTACCCAAAGTTAATACGCTCATGTCAGGAACACATTAGACCAAGAGGGAAACAGATTGATGTGTGTTACAAGAACGGTCGCCATCTTGATGGCGGCCATATTGAATGCAACTCCGAAACTGTAAATGAGAAGGGGGTCATGTAACACATCATTTAAGGTCAGAATTTCACTAGGAATTGATGATTAAAAGATTTTATTGGCCTACCTCGAACGGTTACATAGTTATGCACGTTATATGATGTTCTCAATATACATTCTTTGGGTACATTCTATATGTAGCAGAGGTATTAAGTGATTTTCTTTCCGACCCTGTATATCAGAACACGATAAATCGGCAATGCCAATTTAATATAAAATTATGAAATTAAGAATTTTTTGTTTTAGATTTGGATGAAGGGAATATTCAAGAAATGTTCAAATCAAATCAAAATTTATACCATAAAACTCGTTCTTTATACAGGAAACTTGTCCACAATCTATTTAATTCGGGTAAAGTAAGCGTAGTACATAAAAATGCAAATTTAATAGAAGAAACTTATCATCAAAAAGAAATACCCGATGGAACAACTATCGAGAAAGTAGTTAATATAATAAAGGAAAGTGATTTTGAAGATAAAGCGCAAGTATCTTTCTATGATATAGAAGAAAAAAGAGATAATCTTATACCGTTATACGGTGTAGAGAATATCTTTGTTCAATGTAAACAATGTGGCGAAATATTCTGTGATGCTAGGGAACTGTTTAGTCAAAACAGAACTAGAGTTAAAGTAAAATTTGATGGTAGAGAGATATACAGACATTTATGCAAATTTTGTAATGAAATATTCGACAGAAAACTGAAAACGGAAAAACATATGCTACAACACATAATTGCCAAACAAATTAAGTGCAAAAAGTGTTCTTTAGAAAAGATACCAGAAGAGGTTGTCGTCAAGAAACAACCGATTTGCATGAATTCCAAGATTCCCGCTCCATCTTTAATAGCTGTTCATTGTGAAAAATGCAGGCAATTGTTTTGTCGAGGAGACGAAATTATCGAAAAATATATTACATACAAAGTTTTTAGAGACATCGATCCCGAAAATATTAAAGAGATTACGATTGGTTGGAAGTGTGGAATTTGTGACGCATTTTTACGTCATATAAAAGGAAGAAGTCAATTAGACGTGCATGAACATTTATGGATGCACATGATAAATGAAGACATAACCTGTGATAAATGCATTAATATAAACATAAATCAAAAGTAATTGTAACAAATAAATAAAATATTAAATTATCAAAGAACATTGTACAATTTTTTACTCGTCAATATCTTTGTTTATCAACTCTCTCCCTCTTGTGGACACTAACAGGGCCTTTTAGCAACCCCATTAAAGATTCAGCTAGGCCCTTAATGTGGCCGATGGCGGGGTTAGGTACAGTATGCCTCATCAAACTGATTGGATTGTTTACGTGGTTCGATTTACAAACAGAAAAAACATAATTTTTATTTATACATGGTTCAATAAGCAACTGAAGCCGGTTTCTCGGTTTAAATTACACAAAAAGTAGCGGGCATTTGGAAACCAGGCCACATTGTGCAGATCTTGACAGAGATTTCAAAACCACCTATGGGCAAACGTGGTGCAACTAGGCAATTCAAATAAATATGGAATGATAGTACAGTCGACCCCCTATAACACTGTTGATAATTCACTGTTGATATTTTACAAATACGTGAGCCGGGCTGTGAACGGCTCACGTATTTGTAAAATATAAGTGACTCGTACAACATGGAATTCATATAAAACGGCATTATCAACAGTGTTATAGGGGGGTCGACTTGTACGTATATTTCATCTATCATAATGCATATTATAAAAAATGTTGCACAGAAAATTTCAATACTTTTAAATACGAATTCAAATGTCACGTATCTTTGATCAATATTTGCGATATACCCACTTTAATTTTAAATTACGCGATTTCAGAATATCGTATTATTTTTTAATCTTTCGGCCCTGAAGACCTAAGAACAGTGGTAGATTAACCACTAGTCTGAGTAGATGCGCCCACCAGTGGCCAAGCGGTCTTCGTACCCTAAAACACTGGGAGTTCGGTCGTGGGCTCGCACCTCGCTCGGACGGGTTGGCCACGTGAAGTTTTCAGGTTTTCTCCACGTCTGTAAAGTCTAAATAGAAGCCAGTTTCCCTTAAAAAGACCTCCTGGAAGGCATCATCCCTGGGCAGATCCCCCAAGTGTTGCGTTGCCATAACTTAAACAACAACTGAGTAGATGCCTATGGGTCCGGAGGAGGCCATCGTATGATATACAGTAGTTCAAAAAGTATAGTATTTTAATAATAAATAAATAATTAATTATATATATAATTTTACTAAAACAATTACATAAATNATAGGGGGAGGTCGACTGTATTGATATTAATATATTCATAAGTAAATTACTAAAGATTTAATCTTTTATATTTTCAGAAGACAGAGATAAATTACCGAACGAAACACGAGCGAAAAATGAAGAATTAGTGACAGGAAATTCGACAAAAGCAATTTCTTGCCCAGGATGGACAACGCTGGTCATTCTTTTACTTTTAACTCACGCTGCAAGGTGAAAGTGGTTGTTGTGTATAAGAAAAAATAAATAAATATGTACTATAGTGTCCTATAAAATATGATAGACATTGCTGCTGCTGCTGGACCAGTAATAAAATCCACCAAAAAAAAAAAATCGTCATTTTGACGTCATCTGAAAGGAGGAAATCCGCAGCTCCAAAACGCCAATATATATATAAATAAATATATATAGGCGTCCTGGTTCCGCTCCGTTGATCACACAAGCTCCCTCTGGTGTCTGATAGGGAAGTCATTTCCGTGCCGTAGGGACGACTCAACGATATCTACACCAACACCAAAAGAAATGCTCCT